AGCAACGTTTCACTATATGTAGCAGACGAACACTATACAGAAGCCTGATGATGGCAGATGAGATTCTGCCGAAACGTTGCTACAACTTTAAAAGCAAAACTATAATGACGTGGGAAAATACCCAAACAAAGCTGAATACCATATATATATGAAACTGAATTCATGTGCGGTGGCAAAAGAATTCAGTAAATACATAAATAACTGAATGGCCCCCGGGGGAAAGCATTTTGAAGAGCAAGTGTTAGAGGAGGGGGAAAGCTTGTAGCCAAAACCAAAAACGTAACCAGAAGGATTCGAGTCGCCGCTTCTCTAACCAACCAGCTTGCGACTCTCGTGAGCTGCAGGTGGGTTCGCTGGAAAAGAGACTACAGGGATCCTTTTGATCCTTGAGTGGAAAACGGTTTCCCCGCATCCCGCAAAGTAAGAGGGTGGATGGATGGCTGCCTCAGGGAAAACAGGGAAGCACAGGATGGAAGAAAATATAAATATATATATTACCTTCTCTCGTTTCTGTGTCGTAAACGAGGACTTTAGTTCCTTCTAGAACTACGTATTTCCTATCCCAGCCTTGCTGGCCACGTTTGTTATTTCTGAAAACAGAGACAGGACAAGGCTTGTTTAGAAGTTTTGCACGATTCTGGATCAAGCTGGAAGTTGGACGATGCTACCCCTCTCCTCCCCCCCAAAAAAAAGGGTCAGCGAGAGAAACGGTCCTCCGCAGCTTTCAGCCATGGCCTCCAAGAGCCGCTCTTCCTTCCGCAGCCTTTGAAGCTGGGCTGGCATGTTTCAGCGCAGAGACTCACGTTTATACCTGGGCACCTTCATCCATCCTTCCAGCCGTAAAGCGCTGCCAGGTTCTTTTAGCTGCAGGCCTGGGGAATTCAATTTATCCCGGCAGAAGGCTTCGGAGAAGTGGGCGGCGTACTCAGCCGGCAAGCCGCAAGTGGCCGGCAAGCAGGCAGAACATTTGGGATGGCACATCATTTGGCATTCTAAAAAAAAAAGTGGGGGGGGGGGAAGAGGGGAGGAAGAAGATTAGCTAAGATTAACAGAGTTGCAAGGGAAACCTTGTAGGTCATCTAGTCCAACCCCCCACCTAAGGAGACCCTACACCATTTCTGACAGATGGCAGTCCGGTCCCTTCTTGAAAGCCTCCAGTCATGAAGTTCCCACAACAAGGCAAGCTGTCCTACTGAATATAGAATACCAGAGTTGGAAGGGACCTTGTAGGTCATCTAGTCCAACCCCCTGACCAAGTAGGAGATCCTACACCATTTCTGAAAAAGTGTAGTCCAATCTCTTCTTGAAAGCCTCCAGGGATGAAGCTCCCATAACTTCCAAAGGCAACTTCTGATCCATGGATTGATTGCTCTCACTGTCAGAAAGTTTCTCTTTATTTCCAGGTTGAACCTCTCCTTGTTCAGTTTCCACCTATTATTCCTTCTCTGGCCCTGGAAAATAGCTTGACCCCCTCCTCCTCTCTGTGGCAGCCCCTCAAATATTGGAAGATGCTTTCCTGTCTCCCCTGGTCCTTCTCTTCCCTAGACTAGCCAGGCCCAGTTCCTGCAACCGTTCGTCGTATGTTTTAGCCTCCAATCCCCTCATCATCCTGGTTGCTCTTCTCTGCACTCTTTCTAGAGCTTCAACCTCTTTTTTATAGTGTGGTGACCAAAACTGGATACAGTACTCTAGGTGTGGTCTTACTAAGGCTTTACAGAGTGGGATTAGTACCTCACTTGATTTTGGGGAATTAACCACATAGATCCTTTCATCTACACACTGATTTTAACATATTTTATAGGAATAGGCATAATAACGTTTTCCCCCTTTCTGATCTCTACCTCCATTTTGTGTTTTAATCACACAGATCTACAAAACCCCAAGGGAGGAGTGCGGAAAATATGCTCAAGAAAAATGAGCAAGAATTGAATACTGAAACGGACAAGAGATGATGGAAAGAAATAGAATACCCTAACGATTCCCCATCCTTTTTTGAAACTGGGCACCAAAACGACGCGGAAATATATATGAGACTCATTTTCAGGTCCATACAAAGCTTCCCATCCAGTTGTGGTATGCGACCGGTTCAGACCGGTTCAACCGAACCGGTAGTAAAAAAAAAAAAAGCCGATGACCAGCTGAGTGGAGGAAAAAAAAAATCCTCCGACAATCAGCAGAGCGGAAAAAGAAGAGAAAAGCGCAGGATCGGCCTTCCTACCCGCCCCTGTGCTTTTCTGTTCTTTATCCTCTCCACTGATTGACGCTGAAGATCTCAGCTGGTGCGGGAAAAGCTGCGCGCCGGCGTTAGGCAAAGCACGCCCACCAAGCCAGGCCCACCGAACCGGTGATAAAACCATTCGAATCCCACCACTGCTCTCACCCCCCCCCTCCAAACGGCCTCTTTCCTGACAAAAACATCTCTCGGATCACCTGCCCAGGTACCCTTCTTCAGCTTGCCTCTCCCGCTTACCAAGACATTTCGAAGCCTGGCGTCCAAAGTGCACAGTGTCCAAGCAAACGGCACATTTGGTTGCTCTCATGTTCAGTCCCACGTTGAAGCGGTGAGGGATATTGTGATGCATCCGCTCTTTCAGGCGACGGTTAAACTCTAGGGAGAAGATGGCGCCTTGATTCAATTGGGAAACCAAACGAAGGTCCAGCTTGCATGAAAAGATGGCTTGGCAACTGTCTGTAACGTTCATACAGACCAGTGCTAAAGCCTCCCTCCCACCCCTCTATCTTATCTACGTACCTTGTCTATCTCTACCTACCTACCTACCTACCTATGTAATCTATCTATCATCTCTCACACACACACTAGCATCCTCCCATCCATTTACACTATCTGTCTATCTGTCTGTCTATCTAATCTATTTATCATCTCTCTCTCTCACTAGCATCCATCTATCCATTTACTCTCTATCTATCTATCTATCTATCTATCATCTCTCCCTCACTAGCATCCTTCCATCCATTTAGGATATCTATCAATCTAATCTAATCTAATCTAATCTAATCTATTTATCATCTCTCTCTCTCTCCCTCACTAGGATCCATCCATTTACGGTATCTATCTATCTATCTATCTATCTATCTATCTATCTATCTATCTATCTATCTATCTATCTATCTATCTTCTCTCTCTCATTAGGATCCATCCATCCATCGATGGTATTTATCTACTTACTTATCTACCTATCATCTATTTATCCATCTATGTCTCCATCTTCACATTTATCCATCCATCCATCCATCCATCCATCCAGTGGTGGTTGGGTTTCGAACTGCCCATCTTCTGGTCAAAAAACCCAGCATCTTAACCACTAGGCCACCACATCCCTCCTGCCTACTCTTAAACAAAAATATTGAAATTGTATCCAAATTTTCTTTTCACAGCAATACCCATTTATCGTCAAAAACAATGGATAGCTGAGGCCTGCCTTGCTTTGGAAATAATGAGGAAAATCTACTTTGGGTAGCTTGGAATACTGTGTTACATTTTGGAGCCCACTTTTTAAAGCAGTAATGTCCTTTCCTCCAAGACCGCCATGAGATCCTGAGAAAATCGCCGAAGGACCTACCCAGCCTGGCTTTCTATAACAGGGCTTGGGAAAGCCAACGGAGGCAAAATCAGAAAATTTGAGAAACAATTGGTAAATAAAGGTGTTTACTGGGGGGGGAAAAAACCTGTAAAGAGCAAAGGAGGTGTAATTCAAGAGCAGCAGGACTCAGACAGAGTACTGCTGTTTGGCAGCTGATGCAAAGTTTAGCGAAAGGGTTAGCTGATATGCTGATATTGTTCAAATTTGGGGAACTCTGGAATTAAACGTCTGTAGACCTGCCAGTTAGTCATTTAACGTCTCTAGAAACAAAAACTGAGATAATTAGTGCTTACACAAAGCGCTGAGAGTTCTCAGAACTTCATATAATTATCTCAGTAATGGTTAACACACTCCTGTAAGGTAAACCATCATTAGTTCCCAACGGAGCCTTTCTGAAAACAATACAGTAAAGTCGTAACTCGCGGGGTCTCCACACTCCTGAGCAGAGCAGGACAACAGGTCTCTTGGTCACATGACTGAATCACATGGACAGATAGGGGGACTCAAAGACAAGCTGCCGTTGGGACATTGAGGACAATACGACACCCAAACCCTACAAGGAAACACGGAGAAATCACACAGAGAACAAGATAAATTGTTGACGGTGCAGGGTTTCTGCGTGTGGATCTGAACGCTACGTGGCTTTTGGAGATCAAGTATTATGGGCTTGGAATCCAGGGAGGGGGGAAGGAGGAGCTGATGTCCTTGGATCCTTCTTGGAACGAGTTGGAATCCGGATTCCAATAATTGGGCTTTGAGACGCTGAAGTTATTTTCAGCTCTGCGAGAAGATGGTCGGTGCAGGATGGTTCCTAGTTTTACCTGCTCTCAACTCCCTTTTTCAAGCAACCAAACCGATTAACACCTTTAGGTAAAGGTTCCCCTTGCACCTACGTGCTAGTCGTTTCCGGCTCTAGGGGGCGGTGCTCACCTCCGTTACAAGGCCGAGGAGCCAGCGCTGTCCGAAGACGTCTCCGTAGTCATGTGGCCGGCAGGACTAAACACCGAAGGTGCACGGAACGCTGTTACCTTCCCACCAAAGTGGCCCCTATTTTTCTACTTGCATTTTTTAACCTGCTTTTGAACTGCTAGGTTGGCAGAAGCTGGGACAAGGAACGGGAGCTCACTCCGTGACGTGGCGCTAGGGATTCGAACCGCCGAACTGCTAACCTTTTCTGATCGACAAGCTCAGCGCCTTAGCCACTGAGCTGCCCTGTCCCCTACCACCTTTAGGGACCTGCTAAACTACAGTCTATTTATACTATAGGCCAGGGGTGTGTCCAACCTTGGCAACTTTAAGACTTGTGGACTTCAACTCCCAGAATCCCCCAGCCAGCCGTGCCTTCTCTAAACCTTTTCCAACTTTTCCGAATCCTCCTGAAAGCAACGATGTGGCTATGACGGTCCTTCACTATTTCCTAACCGTGAAGGTTTAGATTGCGGCTGTCTAGCCTTGCGGGCAGCTTTAAGACCTCTGGACTTCAACTCCCAGAATTCCCCAGGCCAGAAGGGGTCAATTGCATCCAATTGCATTGCCAGGTGCTCCCACCCACCTCAGAGACACCGAGCAGATTTGTCAGCGTGGCTGGCTGGCTCCCATAACAAAGTCAACCGAAGGGATTGGTGGACGTAACGAACTGTGGGCGGCCCTTGGGCAAAAAAAAGGGAGGATCCACTATGCTTGCTTTTGCGCGGGGAAACCCAGAGCTGGCTTCGCTCCTTCTGTGCGCCAAGGTGGACTTATTCAGTAAAGTTTTATATACTCTTGGTAAAAATAATATCTCTGGAGTTTCTTTTTCTGGGATCGCCAACTGGACAGTTGACTTGGAATAAACCCCGAGCAACCGACTCGTATTTAGGATGGTTGCCGTGTTTCCCGGGGTCAAGTTTTTGCGACCTTTTGAACGAGCCAAGCGGGAAGACAGATTCCCTTCACAATTGCCGTACTAACTTAAGAACTGCACTTAACAACGGTGGCGAGAAAGGTCGTAAAAACGGGGCAAAAAAAAAACTCCCTTGAATCGCTTAGCAATGGAAACCTGGAGCTCCACTGAGGTTGTAAGTGGAGGACTACCCGTATTCTGGTTTTATATCTAGGAACTTTACGATTTAGCCCGGCTTTTGGCTGTCGCTAAATAGTCCCTTATTGTTGTTTTTTTTTTTTTTTTTTGTACCACCTGCTGACGACGCTTCGATCCTGGCTTGGCGCTATTAGGAAGCCGGGCCCCCTATGCAGCGGGAAGAGGTCTCTGGGTGGTCTGGGCCAGAATCCCTCCCGAAGCTAACCCCTCCCCCCTCCCTCAAGCCTTACCCTCTGGCGTGGAGGCCTCCTTTCGGCGGCTGGAGGGAGGTGCCAGCAGGCTGATGGGCGTGGGCTGGTGTTCTGGTGAGCGAACTATGGCAGACATGATGATCTGCTGCCTGGCCGTGGCAGGCGTGGCAGGGTGAGGGTGGTCTGTAATTTTCCTATGGGCAGCTACGGACACACACAAATAGTTAGTTAACTCCTCCTCTGAGTGGGACGAAGAAGAAGGAGGAGGAGAAAGAGAAGGAGGAGGAGGAGAAGAGGAGGAGGAAGAGGAGGAGAAAGAAGAAGCAGAAGAACGAGAACAAGAAGAACGAGAAGAAGCAGGAGGAGGAAGAAACAGAAGAACAACAAGAACAAGAAGAAGGAGAAAAAGAAAAGGAGGAGGAGGAAGAAGCAGAACAAGAACAAGAAGCAGAAGAGGAGGAGGAGGAGGAGGAGAAAGAAGAAGCAGAGGAACGAGAACAAGAAGAACAAGAAGAAGCAGAAGGAGGAGGAGGAGAAGGAGGAGGAAGAAGCAGAAGAACAACAAGAACAAGAAGAAGCAGAAAAAGAAAAGGAGGAGGAGGAAGAAGAAGCAGAACAAGAACAAGAAGCAGAAGAGGAAGAGGAGGAGGAGAAAGAAGAAACAGAAGAAGAAGAAGAAGAAGAAGAAGAAGAAGAAGAAGAAGAAGAA